GTGTATCATTGGTATAAAGGATTTTAGCCTGTGCCCAAACAGATTCGCAAGTCTCATGAGAACGAAAGATCTGTTTCAAGGATGGACTAATAATCGACTTAATGAGACTGCAGAGTTGAGCATCAATTTTCTTCCAATGAGCACTATCAGGGTTGAATTAGGCCCAACCACATCTTAATATGGTATCAGAGCCTCGTTTAAGATCCAGTGGGCCATCCACCATTTATTTCCACGCTCCAGTTGTCTAGTCCTGGGCGTGAGAGGGTGTGTTAAGAGTCCCACATCGGACAATATATGGCCTGAACATGTGTTTATAAGTGGGGGCAATCCTCACCCTACAAGCCGGTTTTGTAGGATTGAATTAGGCCCAACCACATCTTAATAGAGGGAATCTCTTCTGTAGATACAGACAATGGCATCCATCATCTCAAAGTCGGACAGGAGGTCTGAAGAAAAGCTTATTGAGATGTGGCTCGTGCAATCCCCTGCATATGTTGGTAGTCTGATCCTGAAGATTAATCAGTTGTTGTTGGTATGTGTTGAGTATGAGTTACTATGGATGTTTCCCCAGAACCATAGTAACAATGGATGATGTCGTAGCAGATGTTGGAACAACATCTCAGTTTCTTCAGCAATAAAAGTTACCTTTGCTCAAAGATACACTCAAATTAAAGGAGTTGTTTTTTATGAAACCTTTGTTCATGTGGCTAGACTTAAATCAATTAGACTACTCTTAGGAGTTGCTTGTATTCTGAGGTTTAAGCTATTTCAAATGGATGTAAAGAGTATCTTCCTAAATGACTATTTGAATGAGGAAGTCTATGTGGAACAACCTAAGAGATTTATTGATCCAAGTTTTTTCCTAACCATGTGTACAAACTGAAGAAAGCTATGTATGAATTAAAGCAAGCACCAAGAGCTTGGTATGAGAGATTGACGGAATTTCTTGGTGAGAATGGATATAGGAAAGGTGGTATAGACAAAACTCCTTTTGTCAAGGAAGAAGAAAAGAAGATCATGATTACACAAATTTATATTGATGATATTGTGGTTAGTGGGATGTCAAATGAGATGGTTCAACATTTTGTCAAGCAAAGGTCAGAATTTGAGATGAGCCCTGTTGGTGAGTTAATTTACCTTCTTGGATATTGTGATGCTGATTGGGCAGGAAGTGCTGATGTAGAAAAAATACATCAGGAGGATGTTTCTTTCTGGGGAATTATCTCATATCATGGTTCAGTAAGAAGCAAAATTGTGTGTTCTCCAAAGTTGAGTTTAAGATCAAGCCACTGACCTAATCTGGAATGTTTTGGCTGCCATGATTGGAGGTCATGTCAAAGATTCAGAAAGTATCACAAGTGTGAAGAAGAAGGATGTCAGATTAAAGTCCTACCTAGTGTGAGAAGGTAATCCTATCTGACTAACTGATAAGTACCTTGATGGGAGTTAAGTGTTTGTCTGATGATTTAGTTCAAATCTGATTTTTGAACATGTCTTTTAGAAAATATTTGAGAGGTTATGTCTCTTAAATTATGTTCTGAGTTGTGGTAGATACTAAAGATGAGATCTATTGGGATCCTATTGTGTAGATTGGGAGGTTTGTAAAGGGAATGTATGAAAATAAGTTTCTTGGATGGTGATTCTAGAACGAAAGCTGATAGGTTCTGTAGTAAAGTTGTTAATGTCCCAAATGATGTTGTAACATCATTGTTGATGATAGTCTGTGGGAGAGACTTGGGACTGTGAATCTTAAATATTCTACCACCTCATTCAGAAGTGGCAGTTCTATCCTTGGTTTAGAATAAGAAGATTCTGAATTTGGTTAGAGAAGTATGCTCAAGTAATGCATAACTACTATCTTGGTTTGGAGACTTTACTAGTGTCAGCAAATACTAGTAATGTGCAGAAGGAGGATTTAATCAGTACATTCGTTAAGGAGTATTCCTTCTGTTAGAGAGTCTGAATCTTAGTAAAGCTTTTAAGCACACTAAGAAATGGTTGAAAGTTGGTTTCTGACTATGGTTGCATGACATCTTAGCCATCCAAAGAGTCATGACAATATGTGTGGAGGTGCAAGGGCATGAATCAGAGGTGTCCTTGTTATGTGACTAGTTCAGGGAGGAGTCAGTGGACTAATTGGTTTGCTTGGAGCTTGTGATGTTCAAGCGTATAGAGTTATTGCCCTCCTATGGGGATGATGTTGGATAACATGCTGAGACATGTTGCTACAAGATGTAGCTGTTTATGTCCTTACAAGTCTCTGAAGACTCTAGCCAGATGTTGCTAGGGTATACCATCCTTCTCCAAGAGGATGTGCTAGTTCTGCGAGAATTTATTTTTCTCTGCAATAGTGAATGGGATAAAGAAGACTATCATGCTCGTTGTTAGGAGATGTCACACTTATTTGACAAGTAACTGATAATCAGGTTTGCAAAGACATTACTGCAAACCAGGTGAATGTATGACCCCTGAAGAATAAGCTCCCTGTTAGTAAGTTAAGTGTGAAATATGCCATCCTGCATAGAATTGGAGATGTTAACTGGATCCCTACCAATCATACCTCAACCATTAGTGGGTTTAGGAAAATTCATTTATGCTGTTGAAAATAAGAAGATGTTTGATTATGGTGCTTATATTTTTCAACGGACTGTAAAGCATGCAGGAACTTGTGCAATCAAGATGCTTGGTGCCCTTCCCTCTCTTATTTGTGGCATTATTCTCAATCAACTCCCTGGGATTCTTTGTGGTACTGATGTGGTATGCAAAACGGAGTCTGCTCTGTCTCTTCACTTCAAACTGTTTTCAGGCAAACATGTCACAGACATTGTCTTGACATCTACATCCATAACAGAGTCACTCTAAGAAAAGGCACCTTGTATGAAATATAGAAGGGAAGAAAACCTATTGTCAAATACTTTCATGATTTTGGAAGTAAATGTTACATCTTAGCTGATCGTGAACAGAGAAGGAAGATGGATCCCAAGAGTGATGAGAGAATATTCCTGGGTTACTCTACAAATAGCAAAGCTTACAGAGCCTTTAACTCCAAAACTAAGGGGGAGAATCTTACTGGTGAGGTTGAGGGGAAGCTTAATGTCCCAGAAGATGTTCTAACATCTTTTTGGAGCTGATTTTTTTTGTCATTTTGTGATGTGGGACACTAATTCTAAGTGAAAGGAATGGACTTGGAGAATTCAGATGAAGGCATTATGGTCATACCTCTGACCATATGAAGAAGTCTGGGAAACATCCTTGACTAAATTGCTGAAGGTTTGTCGAGAAAGGTTGCTTAGATAGGAGATAGTGTCCAAACATGTCGAATCAAATGTTCTATCATGTATTTGTTTGGATCTATCCTTTGTGACCTATGATATGTGTTCTGAGTTATCAGGGGCAGTGGTTGATTTGGTCTAAAGGAGTTATTAAGAGTTCTCTTATTCCACCATTGATCTTTTATGTTTAGAAGATGTTCCTAGATTGAGGGGAGTACAAGTTGTATTCTGCTATCTTCTTCCTCGTGTGCATCAACCAAACTTCAGGACTTTCCTTCCTTTTATCCCGAAGCTGCTGTTCGTTGGTGCTGATGCAATTGAGTTCTTTAGGGTGCTGCAAAGAAGATGTCGAACAAGATGTTGAGACATTATTTTCAACTGAAAATCTATTGTTGTGTGCAATAGCTTCTGAACACTATTGTCGAGGGTTTTATTTTTGTATTGCTGAAATCTCCTATATGGCAATTGTTTTTAGATTATTTATTTTAGCCAAAATTTGCTAAAAGAGAGAGATTGTTAGTTCTCTTGTTTTAGGACTGGCTTAATTTTTGTAAAACAAATAATAGCAGCAATCATGTAATGTAGAATAGGATGTATAAACCTGCTAAGAAGAACAGGTACAACAAGAAGTCCTATTACAATGTCAGAGCATGTTGTGTTGAACTTTTTCAACAACTGGAACAACATGTTGAAGAAGATGTCTTCGACATCGCGCCTGCTGAGCTGGATTAATGAGATTCAATTTAAACAAAGACAGAATATTCAGGAGAATATTATGCATCCTATGTGGCGCATATTTAAAGGTCTAGAAAATTCAATCAGAAATCAAGGAGAATGAAGACTTTCTAAATAAGGAGATTATTTAGGAAACTAAAGATTGAAGACCTTTCTTGGTGCAGAAGTTTCTGCAGTTTGTTACAGCTGACTTGCTGTGATTGAAGGCCCAAAGCCAGTTGAGTAACAGGTTATAAATAGAAGGATTTGTAACCTAGAAAATACACGGCTCAAGATGTAGAAGTCTAGGGTTTTGTCAAGGTAAACCTCTCGGATTATGGGAAGGTTACCATGTTCACCTCGAAGCCTGTAGATAAGAGGTGTATTGTTCTTGGAGGAAGCTTTGAAGCAACTCCAGGATGTGTTAGGAGCAAAGCTAACAAACAGTGGAGTTTGGCTTGTAGACTTAGCTAGGTTGTCCTGGAAGTGTGTCTTCCAAACTATTTATCTGTGTGATCAGAATCTTGGTGAAGGATCGTCGATGCAGTGACTGAGGTGTTGACTGCTAGACATCATTGCGATGATTGGAAGTGGGATGGGGATATTCCATATCTAAGGAGGACCTAGGTAGAAGGGTCATTGAGTAGTGATTAAATGCGTAAGTCGTCAACGGGTGTGTTGGTTGTAGGGTCTGTAAATTGATACTACTGATAGTGGACTTCATTTCTGACTTTGTAGCCTCCAGAGTAGGTGTTGTTGTACACCGAACTGGATAAAAAATTCTGGTGTATTCTTTATCTTTTTTGTACTGTTTTATCTTGCCTGTGTATTTGTGTCAGATCAGATGTCTCGACATCTTTATAGGACATCTGAATCTGTTGTACCAGAATTTCACAGTTTATATCCAAACCACACAAGTTTAAAATGCCAAAATATTGCAATACATAGCCCGTAATCAGCATTAAAATATGAAACACAAAACGAATTCTGTAATTAATTTGAATTATAACTAACCAGTAATCCTTCTTCCAATGCTAATCTCCTTGCCATTTCAATAGCTTCAACATTGGTAACCTGTGTCAAGATAATTTAATATGCAAAATAATCTACATGCGTTAATAATGAAGATGAAAGATCATAGCAATAACATTGCACAAAGAAAATAAAAAGGCCACCAAAGCAACAACTAAATAACTAAGATGAATGAATAACTTAATCATATGAAAATGACTACAGATAGTATCACCTAAAATAATGCAAAAGCAAACAATATGCCCAAATAGGTTCGTCTGACCACAAATAAAATGGCAAGTTTACAAACAAAGGGTAATCAATTTTTCCATTTACCTTGACAACCTCATCAAGTAGTTTGACATCCAAAATGCTTGGTATGAAACCTGCAACAAACTCTCTGATGCAGTCAAAAACTAAGAAAATATGTTTCAGGAGGGGGGAAACATGAAATGGTAAAAGCAATCATTCATAATTTTGGAAAAGATTCATACCTGGATTGTCTCCTGAGATTATACTTCTGTCTGCAGGTTCCACCCCAACCACCTAGTTAAAACCATATATGGCAAAATTTAATGTTTGGTGAAGATACTAGAGCAGATAAGGCCTCACTTGGACTTTAAACGTAGAAGCATGCAGAAATAGTTGTGAAACAGATGTCAACTAAATCCAGCTATGTTGGATAATCGAAGTCTTTATTATAAAATGTTGATCAATTTATGGTTTGATTGAATGTATGCTACAAATAGAATAGCCATAGTAATAGTCTATGTTCTTTTGGATCTTTTTTCTTCCATTCCTCTTCCCCCACCCTAGGGTCCAAACATAGGAGTACAAACACATGGAGCCAAATTCCTCAAGAACTAAGAATGAGAAATGTATTACAGAAGTTATCATCACTCTGATACAAATTCAATTAAAGTTACCTAAAATTTATTTTCATACAAATAAATTTCTTTTAAGATTTCTTTTAATACAAACAACTTGCAGAATATGGAATTTGAATTCACAGCCTGATATAGTGAATTCATCCTGATATAATGAATTCAGTGCCGAAGAGCAATAAGAATATCATTCAATTTGAAAGACTAAAGTGCATATAAAAGAATAATCAAACCTTTATATTTTTGTTCATCATTTTCAGATAACGTCCTGTGCCTGTAACAGTACCTCCAGTTCCAATAGAAGCAACCAATACATCAACAGTACCCATGGTATCCTCCCATATCTCCGGCCCTGTAGTTTCGAAGTGGATCTGTAATTTAGGCATATAAATCTTAAAAACTCGTAAATAAATGTGTTGTAAATTCTTCTTCGTGCCATAAAATTTAAAACACGGTAAACAAAAGGTGAAAGTCTCATTTAAGACGGATTGAGATTTAACCTTTGTATTATTACTATTATCAAACTGTCGAAACATGTAAGCATTGGAAGTGGCATTGACAATTTCTTCAGCTTTGTCAATAGCCCCTTTCAGCCCCTTCTCTGCATCAGTCAACACAACCTCTGCACCAAACGTGCGTAAAAGAATTCTCCTCTCAATATTAATGGAGGCAGGCATTGTGACTATCAGTTTATAGCCCTTAGTTGCTGCAACAAAAGCTAGGCCAAGTCCGGTATTTCCAGTTGTTGGTTCAACTAAAACAGTCTGCACAAATTCAAAATCACAAAGTTAAAGAAAATCCAAGATTCAACAATTTCGAACAAATCATTACATCATATAAAACAAGAATTTTTTAGATACCCAAAAAATCTTCACAACATACCTTTCCCGGTGTAATTGCTCCATTCTCTTCGGCGTCAGCTAACATGCTATAGCCAATTCTGACATTTTGAACAACAATAGAAGTATTTAAGATAAATTAGGTATTCCGAAATTTATTTTAAAAACGAGCTTCATGAAGAGTTGAAATGAAATTACCTATCCTTGACACTTCTGCAAGGCAACATGGATTCAAGTTTTGCAGCAACGTTTGCTACGCATCCTTCTGTAACTTTGTTCAGATATATCATAGGTGTATTCCCAATCAACTGCATTAATTAGTTTCTAACAATCATTCAATTTTTCAAAAGTAAATCAATTATAACCTATGTAGACACCTTCGAGAAAAGGGTGTGTCCATGTCCGTGTTGATATCGGTGTCGGTGTTAGTATCAGACACTTGCACCGACACTTGTGATTACTTTATTTATTTATTTTTTCCAAATTATTATCGGTGTCGCTGGATGAGTGTCGGGTCAAATTCGGGTGCAGCTTCATAGATTATAACATATTATTGAAATCAAACGAAATGAATGTAAAGGTGATTTAAGTACCTGAGTGACATCTTCGGCGATGTTAGCGGCGTCGAGTCCTTCTCTGGTGGTGGTAGGGTGGAGTGGCGGAGTGGAAGATGTAGTGGATACAGTGGCGGTGGCGGTGATTGTTCGCCGGAAATGGATGTAGGGTTTGATGTTTCGGTGGAATTGAGTAGTGAAAAGGCGGGGACGAGGAAGAAGTGTTGTAGGAGGTGAAAAGCATGAACATGGTGATGATGAAGATGATAGCGCCATTATCGTTCTTGAGATTTATCATGGGTTTTAAATTTATATATTTTTCAATTATCTATTTCATTTTGAATTAGGACTTTGGGCCAAACGATTGGACTCCTTTTACATTTGGGAATAGCTAATTTCACCCTATAAGCTGGAATAGCATATAAGAATTCAAAAATACTTTTCAAATTTCGAAAAGATATCTTCGATTACGTCTCTTACACTAATGAAACACAATTCAATTGAATTATACTTTTTTTTCAAAAATATGTTTCGGAGATAAATCTCTGGACCAACCCTATCATTTTATTCCTAATTTACTATGTTAGTGATTTTTTTAAAGGTGCATCTTCGAAATTGTGAAGTGGAAAATTGAAAAGGTGTGACATTTGCAAGTTAGTCTATTACAGAGATGCATCTCCGAAAAATTAAACGTTATTTTTTTTATAAGACAGAACCTTGCACGATCAAACTCCATTGTCAACCTTTATCAAAATCATTGCAATAAACCTTTGATTCTCAATCCAGATTTTAGCTCAAAAATTTCAATACGGTGTTTTATCATTTCAAAAGGAACAAAAGAATGCAAATTCAAGGTGAAGATAATTCATTTCATTCTTCATTGCTCACATTAATCTTGTTTTTGTGTTGTCAAAGTTACATTATTTCTGAAAGTGCATCTCTGAAATTCATATGAATTCTTACGAAAATGCATTTCTGGAATTTCTCATGTTTTCGTTTTTAAATATTGTGTTTCTATTTGCATTAGTTATGATGCACACAGATTGTTTCCCAAAACATGTTGTGTCAACTATCGCGCCGCGAAAAAACACAGAGTCGCCACTGAACTTTATTTATCTCGAAGGAAGAGAAAATATCGAGAGAGAGAGAGAGAGAGAGAGAGAGAGAGAAACCCGAAAAGGAATGGATATGATGGTCTTGCAACCAATAGATGGGTTTGGGAGTCGGTTATGCAAAGGGAAGGTATTAGCACCCCTCACATCCATTGTACTCAATGGGAACCATTTTGCTTATCTATGTGTAAGGATGTTGTTAAGGAAATATGCTTGCAATGAATGCTTTAAATAATGGGTTTAATTAGGGGAAGAAAAAATAAGTTTTTAATTAGTGTACTCGCCTTGGTTTCGCAATCTCGTGCCTACGTATCTTCATCGTGAAATGAAGAATCAGAGCGTCGTAGTTCGGCTAGAAAATAATTATTTGTTTGTATTTTTTATCGGAGATGTTAACGTTCACATCCTAGCATCTGGTATGCGGTATTATGAAAATAACACACACCCTTTTCTGAAATATTTTGAGTTACTCCCTCAAGGCAAGGTGTCACATTTGATTTGTTAGATTGATTTTAAGGTGAAGATAAGTCCTCGAATAGTAATCTCTGCAGGTAGTACTCAATTCCTTATTACTCCAAAAAATTTGCTTGTGAAAAATATGTGGTAAGTATAGTCATGTTCCTCGTATTGAAAGACAAGTACTTAGACCATACACTCTGAAGTGAGCATTGTAACGCCACTTTAATTTAATTAATTATTTAATTAAATTATTTTTGGATTATTTGTTGAAAAGTTGTGAGATGTTGAGAATTGTTGGTATAAGTTGTTAGATTATTGTTAATTTATTACTTAGTTGATTAATAATAATAATAATGTTAGAATTAATGGAATAATCATGTTGGACTTATGTTATTGGTTGGAAGTAGTAAAGTGGGGTGTGAAAGTTAAGCCCAATATGATTAATGGTATAAGGTTAAGCTGACACAAGGATTTGGTTATTTGGTATAATAAGAAGTCTTGTGTGTGACCGTGTGAAGTTGCACAGAAGAGGAGAAAGGTTGTACAGTTGTCGAGCAAAGTTGCACGGTTGTCGAGCAAGGCAAGGCTGTCGGTTGGAAGTTTTTGGTAGAGCGACCTTCAATCCAAGTAAGGGTGGGGTTCTGACCTTATAATGGGATTTATGATGTGTAAAATGTGGGAATTGGTCGTTTGTATGACTGTTGTTTATTGATGTTTCTGGATCTGTTAGTGAAGTTGCTCGTTTTCTATGTTGTGGTTGTTTAGGGAGTTACCGTATGACTGTCTTGCATGGTTAGTGAACATGTTATTGAAGTTGGTCGTTAGTCGTGTTATGGGCGTTTTGAGTTGTCTGTATAATTGTCCGGTATAATCGATGAATAGGTTAGTGTAGATTATTACTTGTTTTTGTGGTTATTAGGTTGTTGTATCTTTCGAGCAGTTGGCAGGAAATTAATAAATTGTTGTTATGGTCGTTTTAGGAAGGTTATTTGTGATTGTCTTGTACAATTAATGAATATGTTGATAGAAAATATAGTTGCCCGTTGATGTGGTATTTCGAGTGGTTGGCCAGAAATTATGGGTTGTATTGATATGGCCGTTATGACGTCGTATTGTTCCATGTTGTTGGCCGGAATGAGTGGTCGAGGAGGATGCTGATGGTGTTAGGTGTCGAGCAGCATGTAGGATGTGAGGTGTATCGGGGAATATATGTGTTGGATGTCAAGCGGAATTAGGCTACAAGGTGCACTGAGGAGCACAGTATTGTTGTCGAGCTGCACGAAGTTGCATGTTGTGTCGAGGAGCACAAATTAGTTGTTATTTTGTCTTGGTTGTTACGCATGTCGAGGGGCACGTAGTCTCCCTATTCCTATTGTCGTGCATGTTGTTTTGGTCGATACTAGTGTTATGTAAGTTGTTCTAAGTTGAGGAATTGCAGGTTGATGATTTATATTGAGATGCCTCTAATTATGGGCAGATATTAAGTTATAGGCTTATGGCCAATGTTGAATTAAGTTGAATTATTGTTGTTGTTGTTATTACGTTCATGTTGTTAATGCATACATAGCATATCATGTTGGAGTTGATGCTCGTTAAGTTGGCTTGGATTGGCAAATATAAAGTTGAGGGCTTATGCCTTGTTGATGCCTATATTAATTAGCAGATCATTAGGTTGCGAGTTTTTCTCCATTGGTACCACATGCATGTGCATAAAAACAAGTCGCATTTCATGTTGCATCCTGAGTCGTCGTGTGGATGAATTAATTATGTTAAATATTGTTAAAAAGTTGTGAAGTGGTGATTTGTATGAACTAATTTTAATATATTATTTATCATACGTTCTATTATAATGTTCGATATCTCACCCCTTCTGTTTGAATGTTACCCATATGTTGGTAACATGCAGGTAATCCAGAGTGAAAGCGGTTTACCTTCAGTAGTTTGAGTTGGTGTCATTGCTCTGATACGTAACACTCGGGGGGATGAACACTTGTTGCTTTATCGTCGTTATTACTTCAGTTGTTGAATTTTAAGTTGATTTTCATTAAGTACTTGTTATTTGGAGTTGTTTTAGTTGGATAAATATGTTTCATTCTTTTAAGTCGAATTTTATGATTCCGCTGCGTAGTTATGAAAGTTGTTGGTTTTAAAAGATTAATTTATGTTGTTGTTGGTTCAACCAAGTTTAATGTGTTATGTATCTGTAATGAATGTCGTTGTTTTAAGTTGAAATTATAGCATCCTGATTTGGTTGTCGAAATTTTGTAACTCTGGTCTTATATAATTGTCGGGTAGAATTGGGGTGTTACAAGTTTGTATCAAAGCAAGTCGGTCCGTCCGACTAAGTTGTCGAGTCGTAGTTTTGTCTAACAATCGAGTATTGTTAGATTGAGTTCTAACTATTTTTATGTTGTAGTGATAAGTTGAGATGGCCAGAAGGAATGATGTTGCACTTGTTGTTGCTTTAGAAGCAATGGCGCATGTTATGGAGAATTAGTCGAACACTGACGGGAATGATGTATCTCGTAGTTTGGCGACCTTCCAGATGAAGAATATGCCTACCTTTAAGGGTATGTATGATCCTAATGGAGAGTTGGATTGGTTGAAAGAGATTGAGAGAATCTTTCGTGTGATGGACTGCACCCCGGCACAGAAGGTTCGTTATGGTAATCATATGCTAGCAGTCGAGGCTGATGACTGGTGGCTAGAGACTTGTTAGAAATTGGAGGATGCGGGTGAAAATGTCACTTGGGTTGTGTTTCGTAGGGAATTTTTGAGGAAGTATTTCCCTGAAGATGTTTGTGGTAAGAAGGAAATTGAGTTTCTTGAGTTGAAGCAAAGGAGTATGTCGGTTGTTCAATATGATATAAAGTTTGCTGAGTTGGCTAAGTTGTATCCGCACTATAGTGAGGTAAATGTTGAGTTTTCTAAGTGCATCAAGTTTGAGAATGGGTTGCGCCCAGAGATCAAAAAGGCAGTTGGATACCAGAAGATTCATGTCTTTTGATTGATAGTTATAGGATTTATGAAGAGGATAATAATGATCACTATAAGATTATAAATGAGAAGAGGGGTAAGCCCCCAACAGGACCATGGTAAGCCTTACAATTCCCTAGCTGATAAAGGTAAACAGAAAGTTGCTCAGGGTCAGAGAACTAGTGGGGGAGATGCTCTTGCTGGTGTGGTTTGTTTCAAATATGGAAAATTTAGTCATAAGAGTAACGTGTGTACTGCTTAGGTGAAGAGGTGTTTCCGTTGTGGTAAGACCGGACATGTTATATCTGAGTGCAAGCATAAGGAGATGATTTGTTTCAACTATGGTGAAGAAGGACACGTTGGTAGTTAATGTCAGAAAACAAAGAAGGTGCAAACCAGTGGAAAAGTGTTCGCTTTGGCTGAAAATCAGACGGCTAATGAGGACAAACTCATCAGAGGTACATGTTTCATTAATAGTACTCCTTTAATTACTATTATTGATACCGGTACTACTCATTGCTTTATTTCTGCTGATTGTGTTGAAAGATTGGGTATTTTGTTGTCTTCTATGAATGGAGATATGGTCGTCGACACTCCAATCAAGGGGTCGCTGACTACTTCTTTTGTGTGTTTAAAGTGTCATTTGTCGATCTTCGGCATAGACTTTGTTGTTGATTTGGTTTGTTTGCCTTTAAGAGGGTTGGATGTGATCTTAGGTATGAACTAGTT